TGCCTGCTCCAAAAATTATCTTTTGAATTAATGGCAAGATGTAATGACTGGTGGCATCCTCCATTCTTCGCTACTTGTACCTATGGACAAATTTACATGGACTAGTCAAGGCATTGTCAATGGAACAGGTGTACCCTGGGGCAGTATTGTATAGTGAAAGTGTGGTTCCCTTAAAATGCACAATCACCATCAGCCCATGAACTGTGAACATTTTTTCTAAGGGCACAGCATGAGGTCTACTTTGTAAATTACAAATGAACATTTAGACACATTTTACAAGATGTTTCAGGCTTTAGGGGAGGACATTGTGGAACATGATATATGCACTTCTTCCTGCACCATAATCTCTGGCTAGGCAAAATATATGTGAACCAACGACTAGATGAAGAGGAGGGGGAAGTCTACAGCTTTCCTTCGGGTATGGGGAGTGAACATGATACAGTAAGTGGTCTGGGCCTGAACCCCTATATTTATGGCCACTGACTTGAAAGCTGGAGTCATTGATCTTTGAAACTGTTATTGGTTCAGAAGGGAAATAGTGATTCAGATCTGACAAAGTGACTTAAAAAAACTACCAAAGAGCTGGGGAATTTGTCAGCCTATGCTCAGGATCCTGGCTTGTACCTATATTGTGACTTTAATTTCTTTTGCCATCATACATAGTATTGAACAAACACAGCTACATTCAGCTTACAAGTCTTGAGTAAAAGTAGGACAGCCATAGAAGGTTAGAACAATGACATTTAATATTGTTTTTCCACCAATAGAAGTAATTTGTACCTTTTCCCCTCTACAATGTGTTATTTTCATATACATTATATTTCATAAAATGTACTGATATGGGAAAAAGGAAAACATGGGTTTCGTTCTATTTACATACTTGAATTCAAACATTTTGTAACAACATTGAAAAATAGAAACTTAAATGCATTTTAAATTGTTTTTCAGCCAGTCAGTGGTAAACAATTGCATGCCTGTAAGTTAAACTTCCTCTAAAACTTGGTCAGTCAGTCAAAAGTTTCTAACTGAAGTGTATCTCCATTCAAAAAAATACATAAGTATGTAATTTCTGATACAAAATTCTACACTATCTTCAATAAATAAATAATAAAGCAATTCTTAAAAGTATGAAATGTAAACTTTTTTGTCCTTCCAACAAACAGTATTTTTAAAAAACAATTGCTGAAAATAATGTAGTGGTCTCCTTGGAAATAATAGTACACAGACACTTTCAAGCACAGTTTACACTTATCACCAGACTGTAGCTACCTATCAAGTTATCCTAATTTCCTAATGGAAATTAAAAAAAGTTTCTGTGCTTGACAACACCATCTCTACAGGAAACATGGAAACTGGTACCAAAACATGCAAACAGCAGCAAAGCCAACACATCTTACAAGAACATTGACATGCTAACAAAACAGTCAACACTTCCCATTCTGAAAGTCATTACAAATATACCCATTTATGCATGATCCTTGGGCATCAAAATGAAGGGCTGGAAATGAGAAGTATGTACTTGGTACCAAAATGAGCATACAATGTCTACCATTGACATTGTTCCTACTTCAGCAGAGTTCTTAAGAACATGTTTCTCCTGCTCAAAGCACTTTTCTGAGTCAAGATTTCTATGTGCATTACAGTGAACAAATCCTTTCATTTGCAACATAAACTCCTTTGACTTTGGGATGTCTTACTTTGCAGAAACTTGTCACACCTACTAGGGGAACTGACATGTTTACAGTGAACCGAGATAGCAGTCATCACCTTGATGAGCTACCACCCTGATTAACAAACCATGGTGTCCATTTTATTTAGGCACAGTACAATGTAATCATCCCTTCTGACTGCTTTTTCAGCCCTGCCTATGTAGAATATAAATTAGCAATCCTGAGCCAGAGAAACCGTTTCCTTTCCAGCTGTTTCACAATCCAGCAGCAGTTTTAATGAGTTAGTGGTATACTACAACACACAGCAGGACTTAGTCATCTTTGCTAATTGCAACTACAGTCATTTCTATACCACTGGAAACGTAACTGTAAAAAGCACTGAAATGGGGAAGCACACTAATCAGTTGGGGTGACAGATATCCCAATGCTGATGACAAGTACAAAGCACCAGTCCCGTTCAGAACCTAAGGGAGCTTGAGTAACTAAGTAATACAGAGGGCCTTGGACCAGTAACTCAGACTTTAATTCACAAAGCATTTGTTTCTTTGCAAATGAAATCAAGCTCATGAAAGTATTTCACACTGGGCACCTGTCATTTATACTTTGATTCATTATATTATCCTTCTTGAGATGATTTTTCTTCCTTTTTTAAAACAGATTCAAATATTCATCACACACTTTCTAAAAAGAAATCCCAGTATCTTACATGGCAAGAATTCTTTCATGTTATATGTATTTTCTATATAAATATATTCACATTTATACACCACTCTGTGGGGCAATAGGCACAAAGTTTCTAGAGGAAATTTACAGAAGACCTTCAAAAACACATCAGTAGCACCCTCTTTTGATTAGTTTGCACACTGCAGTAACCAGAAGGTGTGTTGTTTTGTTTTACATGCCAGTGTCAAACATCCTGAAAACTATAGCAAAAAGTTCCACAGAAAAACAAAACAAAAACAGAACAGTATTTTCCTCACAAAGTGGGAATTAGGTTTTCTGCAGAGATTACCCAGATACAAAGTGTGTTCTTAGCATTGTAGATTCCATAATCTTTTTGACAAGTATTTATCTCATATAAAAGTATAAGAATTTCTAGACAGATTCTGTAGACACCTATTGCAGTATCGAAGAAGTGGCTCCATTTCAAGGTTCATCAAACAGCTGCAAGTCCAGTCGGACAACTATCTCTCCCGTTGGTACTTCATGTAGGAGAAGACACTTCGTAACTGGTCCCTTTGAGCCCTGATCTTTCTTAATATCTGCTACCCGGATTTCAGTTCGGCCCAAGAAGTCTGAAATATAATACATACACAATGATCAAAAATACCATCTGAACCCACCCAAAGATCAATGAATTCACAAATAGCATGAACCTTCAAAGTCATATTGAAAACAGTCTTAGTTACAACTGGGAATGAAACTCCTGTCTTCAGAAATCAGTTTTTCCTTTGCTTACAGCATTGCCTGAACCTTCTCCAACAAACAACCATTTCACCTTGCCTTTGGCACTGGATGAGCAGAAATGGTCTGCTTTTGTAAGCCTCCTTTCAGGGAATCATCTGTATGGTAGATTTAAGCACTCCAATGTGAGAACTGGAGAAGAAGTGGAACATTTTGTAATTAAATCTATTCTTCACATCTCTAACCTCAGTGCCTTCGGGAACAAAAACGCCAGCTCCACCAGAGTTTTCTTTAGTGTTTTAGAAGCACTTTTCACCACCATCCTTACCAGAACTTACCAAAAGCAAAAGGGATACTACTTACCATCTGGGGAGAACTGATCCCTCTCAAACACCGTTATGCAGAGGACATCCTGTTCTAAATCTTTGATAAAGAACTGGCAGTTAGAATTCCATTTGGGGTTGAGAGTGTCCTGTATAGTCTTGGTGATGTGACACTGAGAACCCATCGTTACTTCACAATACGGGTTACTTTTTCCTGAAATAATTCAGATAGATGCACAGCTGTGATGTTATTTTCACATGCCTGGATTGTGCAACTTGTCTTTATGGCTCTTTGCAAAGAAACTGTTGTACTGCCACCATCTGAACATAAGCAAACTGAGTGCGTGTATGCCCAAATCAGAATCTGGCATCAAACAAGGTTGATCCCAAAGGCAGGCCTGTGCAGCTTGTGACTAGCAGCCATCAGTGGTGACCCAAAAAAACTCCTGAGTTTACTGTTTGCCTGCAACGGCAGAAGGGTGGGGGGTACAGTTGTCAAGCTTTCACAGACTACAATACGTGTCCAGTGGGACATGTGAGGCTAAGTAAGTCACACGTTGTGCAGGCTTCCACTATATGTACCAGCTATTGAAGTCCAGGTAAGAAGAATCAAAATAGCTTTTTGTCTGATAATTTTGTTTATGTTAAACAGATTAGAGGAAATTCCAGAAAGAAAGCCATATAAGTGTGCCACAGTCAAAACAAACAACGAGTTTATTGTGGCATAAGCTCTGCCTCTGATGGAGCACATTCTGACTCATAAACGCTATGCCACAATCATGGGTTAGTTTTTAAGTTGCGCAAGACTTTCTTTTGATACAAAAAAAATCTTTAAAGGTCTTACCATGGGATCTGCATGGCTTCAGTTCAATACCTTCAACAACGTTCACCATTAGCCTTCCAATACCAGTTGCCCTCTGGGACCGTACTGTGGTAAGAGCAACAGGCAAAATGTATTAAAATACCCTTTTGACATTTCTGGGAAATCTTATAAAGGCAGTCCCCAATGCCATACCTAAGTATGCCTTTTCTCTTTTCTTCTTCTCTGTTTCTATGTAAAGTTCAGAAGCTGCTTTGATTTTCTGAACCCAAGCCGTCCTTCAGCAAAAACAAAACAAAAACAGAACAAAAAAGGAAAGTTAGACATCAGCAATTATAAAATATATGCTGATGAGCAAAGCTGCTGTTTGCATGCCACAGGTAGTGTGACTGCATTAATCCTTTTGCCCATGGGCAACAGGTAGGATGAAAGCATTCATTCTCTTGAATTAGGCCAAGTTCTCAGTGGCAAACTTGGGTCTGGGCTGGATGACTTTTGACTGTCAGTGAAGGAGGGTTCAAACAATTGAATGGTCCTCTGTATAAAAATGCTCTCTGCATAGACAGCTAGATATCAGGGAGAAAGGTTAAGAACATAAGAGAAGCCAATGTTGGATCAGGCCAATGGCCCATCTAGTCCAACACTCTGTCACACAGTGGCCAAAAATACCAGATGCCATCCGGAGGTCCAGCAGTGGGGCCAGGAGACTAGAAGCCCTCCCACTGTTGCCCTCCCCAAGCACCAAGAATACAGTGCATCATTTTCAGAGAGTGCTCAAGGTGGTTTACTTGAACATTTCCCCCCACTTATGTGTGGTTCTAGCCAGTCTCCCTCACATGCTAGCCTTTTTATGTGCAGGACATTTTTTGCAAGGAACATTCAGTCATGTTGAATTGTCACTTGCAGTCTGCACCTTACTCATAGGCTTACTCCCTCAGTAAGAACTAGCATTATATACACATGGTCTTCTTGGTATTCCTGGTAGATACCAATGGCTCAAATACAGTACTAGTATATTTCATATGTGCTACAGCACACCAGATGTTTATAAAATGCTCCTGCCTTAAGATCATAAGAACATAAGAGAAGTCAATGTTGGATCACGCCAATGGCCCATCCAGTCCAACACTCTGTCACACAGTGGCCAAAAATACCAGGTGCCATCAGGAGGTCCATCAGTGGGGTCAGGTTCTATTCATTTCTAGACACAATAGATTACATCTGAATCTTAATTTCTATCTATGTTTTATAAACATCCACTAGGCCTTTGTATCAGATTATTTAGTACATTTGTGCTTAACTATTTATTTTAAAATATTTCTATGCTATCTTTCAAACCAACTCAGAGTCCTCAAGGTGGTGAGCATTAAAACATTCAAAAGAAAAAAGAGGGAATAACCCCTTCAAACAGACAGACAAAACAAAACTACAGAAGGGTATAACACATAAGTGGGAAAAATGTTCAAGTAAACCACCTTGATCCCCCTAACTGAAAATAATAAATATATTCATATAATATGTACAAAGAAGGTAACAATGTCAATTTTTACTACTTTCACAGTACATAAGTAGTATCAGATGCATAAAAGGAACATTAAAAAATGAATAAAAAGAATTAATTAAAAGATGAGCAAAAGTACAGGAGAGGTCTTTGTTAGCATCAGGAGCTGGGGGAATCCTATACTGAAACAAAGCATGTGCTGTTATGTGTAAGAGTTGTTCCAGTGGTTCAGTTCAGTGGCATCTTACCTTTCATTTATGCTTTCCGCACGGAGTGTATAGACTCGATCAATGTGAGAAATGTGAAAGATGGGCTCATCTCCAGAAGGATCCGTGGGTAGTTTGACCAAGACCTCATTTAGAAATATGGGCTGCAAACGTATGAGGCAATGTTAGATTAGGCAAACTCAGGTGTACCACTCAGCATACAACTGAGTGGCATGCCCTCTCTCTAATAGGTATTATTTTGTTACTTTTGCAAAAATGAAAGCGTATAGCCCCAATATATGACAATTTCTTAACTGCAAATCTGCACTGCCCAATTAAAACACATTAATTAGAGCGACTGCAGTAGACAGAGCTATTATCCCCTTAAAACTATACACAGCTAGACTTCTGATGTCAAAAATCAGTGAACAAAGCACTCTGAAGAAAAAAATATCCACAAATCATTGTTGTCCCAGGCATATAGCCAAGGTGATGAGTCCAGGAAGCAAAACAAGCAGATGCTCTACCCATACTATCAATCAACATGGCTGCCAGTGCTAACTATTGAGAAGACCATTTGTATTCCAGCTTCATGCAGAAAACCTGAATTCAAGGAGGGTAAGGGAGGAGGTCATGCTCCAGCCTCTGAACCGCCTTTGCACACCATGGTCAAAACGAATATATCTTTAAGACATTAGGAAATGCTGAGAAACATAATCCCATGACCTTCTAAGGCCTCACAGCCTACTGACATAGGGAAACTTGGACAGATGCAACATATCATTTATTATAATAGTATATTTGATCATCCAGCACCTACCAATAGGGTAGCAAAATGCTACAGCCAAAGTAGAGTTTCTTCATACATATTTCCCAAGATATGCAGAAAAATATAAATTTGTAAACTGAAACTGAAAAGGACACCCACTCCAGCAATAACAAGCTAGTAAGCTCTGAGAAGCACAGAATACTGAAGACAAGGGGTCGGTTGGCCCCGGAGCGGTGCTCTGGGAGTGAGGAGCTCAGGGGCGGGCACATGACTAAGCCCTGCTCCCCTTCCCGCCATTGTTGCGTTTCTCAGCCCGGCACCGGAGCGCTGCCCTGCGGCCCGCGGGAGGCCAGAAGAGACCCGCCACCGCCTCCCCGGGCCTGTGCCGGAGCACTGCGGCCCGTAGGAGGTCAGGAAAGCCCCCCCCCCGCTGTTTACCCGGGCCCACGCCGGAGCACTGCGGCCCACGGGAGGCCAGAAGAGGCCCCCTGCCACCTACTGGGCCCGCGCGGGAGCGCTGTGGCCTGTGGGAGGCAAGAAGAGGGTCCCCAGCTGCCTCTCCAGGCCTGCGCTGGAGCACTGAAGAAGCCCCCTCATCACCTCCCTGGGTAAGTGAGGGATCTGTGGGGGTGGGTGGGGTTTGATTGGGGGTGAGTGGGAGAGCCTCCCTCCCTCTCCTCATCTCTTTACCCGCTTTCTTTCCCTCCTTTCCTTTTCTTTCCCCCTTTTCTTTCTATTCCCTCCTTCTTTCCTTCTCTTTCTTTTCCTCTTTCCTTCCTTCTTTCCTTCTCTCTTTTTATTCCCTCTTTCCTTCCTTCTTTCATTCTCTTTCTTTCCGTCTTTCCTCCTTTTGCGACCCAACTCTAGGCCAGCTGGGGAAGGGGAGGCTTTTGAAGATGCCTTCCCCCCCCCCTTTTGCTTCCCCTTCTGACATCACTTCTGGTAATGTCAGGGGGTGCATATGCTAATGAGCTATTATGCTGATAACCTAGTAGCTCATTAGCATACAGTATGCTAATGAGCTCCTGCAGCTCTTTTTCTATGAAATGACCCCTGCTGAAGACAGTTGTGTATCAGTGAAGGGGGCGGAGAGAAAAAATGGCTTGCTTGAGCATCTGACAGCTACAGTATCCTGGAGGAAGAGCAGGGTTAGGGGATACATATTCCTTTCACTCTAAACCCCCTGACAATCCAGGATGCTGTAAATCTGTGAGCTGGACAAGCCTTCCTGGGCTTATCTCAGAACTGGGCTTAGACAAATAGTTGCAAATCAATCAGCAAACCAGATTGGAAATAGAAGATCTGACCTATCCCCCCCATATCCTCACTTTATGGTGCTGACCAATGATAGCGTGCAGCTTGCAAACCACATTTGCAGAGGTCTCTAGATATATTCAGGATACCACTGAAATAGTGCCTGAAGCACTGGGGTAGGGTGGAGAAGGGTGAGTGTGGCTAGGACACTTCAGGAGAGACCTTCTTCCTGCATACTCATAACCCAAGAATTTTCTTCAGTGGTAGAAGGTCTCTAAAGTAGGTGTATGAAATTAGGATTGGGGGATGCACGGAAAACCTGATGAGCACCTTCCTGCTCAGCAGTCTTCCCTATAGGCCAACTGAGCTACAAGCACTAAACTTCTGAGGTTTAGGTACTAATGAAAAGGAAGAAACTCATCCAGCCTCGGATTGTAGCCACTTTTTATACAATTGGGAATGGGAGTCCAAATCAGTGTTGACATATAAACACATATATAGGGTTGCCATGTCCCCCCTGGTCACCAGTGGGGGGTAGGGCTGCCAGATCCAGGTTGGGAAACTCCTAGAGATTTGGGGATGGAGCCTGGGGAGGATGGGAACCTCAGTGGGGTACAATGCCATAGAGTCCACTCTCCATCAGAGCTCTCTCAGCCCCACCTACCTCACAGGGTGTCTGTTGTGGGGAGGGGAAGGGAAAGGAGTTTGTAAGCCGCTCTGAGACACCTTTGGGTAGTGAAGGGCGGGGTATAAATCCAATGTCTTCTCTTTTTCTTCTTCCTGGGGAACTGATCTCTAGTCTGGAGAGGAGCTGTAATTCCGGGGGGATCCCCAGGTCCCACCTAGAGGCTGGCACCCTAACACAAAATTTCTCATGGTCTCTGTTTGTTCTCTCTATATTTTGTTTGTATATGTTATGCTCCAGAAGCATGGAGTTAACCACCATACAAATTTGTGTGATTCTTTTTAGTGATATCCATTTACTGGTAAAATAACATTTCATCACCAAGAAGAATACAGGATCCCAAAGGCCAATCCAAAGGAACAAGCAAAACTAACCAAGTAAACCATCTATAGACAGTTAACAAAAACTTGGCTCAAATACAGTGGAAAAGGTACATTTTCAAGTGGATTAAGGTATAAATTATGATTACAGTTCTCTGTCTGAAGTTTAACGACAACTGCAAATATTTACAAATTTCTAATCTGGGCCTTGACCAATGTCCACATACACATTTTATCATCATAATGCTAAGAGAAGGGGAAGGGAAACTCTGTTGCAAGTAATATAGTTAGTGATGCTATAAAAGTATTTTAATGTTGCTGTCTGTTTCAGTTCCCATCCCCTCATTAATCATAGCAAGTAGAGACTTAGAAACAGAATCTATTTCCAAGTAAAAATCATCAGAGCTTGTTGATCAACATCACTCAGTATGACTTTTTTAGGAATTCCGGAAATAACTACATTTCACATGATATGGATACAGATTAGCTAAGCTTATTTACCTCGTAAATGGATATGTGTCACTGCTATGTACAAGTATTGTGGGTTCATGGTAATGTGATAAATTCACCTGTCTGTTTCACTGCATTCATATGCAACAGGAAGCTCTGAGTGAAATTTGGTTCCCCACTGCATATACATAGAGCACAACAGACTATTTTGGTTTGTTACATATTGTATGGTATACATAGTGTATATGTGGTTTCTACTGCACGGAAATATAAGAATTATCTCTAATGAGCTAACCCATATGCAGCCACAACCAGCATCACTGTCTATACTTTAGAAGAGGAAGACGAAGAGATTGGATTTATACCCCGCCCTTCACTCGGAATCTCAGAGCAGTTTACAAACTCCTTTCCCTTCCCCTCCCCACAACAGACATCCTGTGAGGTAGTTGGGGCTGAGAGAGCTCTGACAGAAACTGCTATTTCAAGGACAGCTCTGACAGAACTATGGTTTGCCCAAGGACATCCAGCAGCTGCAAGTGGAGGAATGGGGAATCAAACCCAGTACTCCCAGATTAGAGTCTGCGCACTTAACCACTACACCAAACTGGCTAGTCTTTGGATTTTCATAAAAATATGAACAGTTTATTTTGAAGTGGTACTTACTGTTTTGTACATTTTATACTGCAGATTTGACTTGGGGCTAAAAACCTTATCTGTACCAGATGATCCAAGAGGTTTTATGATCTGTGTCAGCAGGAGGAAGTCGTTGAACAGAAAGCCATACAATTCCTTGTTGCTCTTGGCTTTGTAGAGTTTCCCGCTGTGCAGAAATTTGCGTGGCCCCAAACAGTTTGTAACAGAATTAAAAACAAGTTGCTGAGGGGGACAAAAATACAACAGTGAAATGTATAAAATATATTTGTCATTGTATTACTGGATGCAGCTGAAATTATGACAACTATTTTGGTTCATTTTGCAGAGATGGCAGCTAATATTATGGTCTTATTAGGAAATGCATTTGCTTAGAGGTCTTGCAGAACTTACTCTTTTTGCTACAGCTGCTCCTTTGGACTTTAACCTTTCTATCAGGCTGAGCTTACTTATGAGAGTGAGGAAGAAGGAACAAGTACCAATACCTGATCATTTTCTCTGAGGCTGTGGCTGACGCAGAAGACAGGAGTCATGAGTTATTAAAGCTAGGAAAGTGTATTTAAAATAAGCTGACCCCCAAGCTGTCCTCTTTGCTACCTGCTGATTCTGCTTTTTAAGGTTACCTTATACTTGACTTTCACGTGGCCTCTCTACTCAACAATTCTGGCAGAAGCAACGAATATCCTCTCCAAGTGATCAATAGGAACTGGAATAGCTGTCAGTATCCTGCTCAAACAAAATTTTTAGAACTGGCGATTCTCAAAGCAGGATTTCAGCACATTGCAAATTACATCTCACTCTCTCATTAAAAAAAATCATCCATGTGGTGCTCATGGTTCTAATGATGTGGGAAAGAGCCTCATGTCATGCCCCATAATGTTATATCATTGCAGGGGATAATAATGAGGGGAGGGCGGGATTCCTCCCAAGTGCCCCTGCAATGATATTACATTATGGTGACAAAAGAAGCACAAGTTAAAGCAGCCCTGCTAAATTCAATGCAGAGCACCAGACAACTATCCCACATCTCACTCCTTCCATCCCCCCAACCACAATGGATGATTCATACTCATTATGCATCTTATCACAGCATACCACAAGGTGTATATAAAGCTCAGCCTAGGAACACGCCATATGTTTCAGTGCATGACATGAGGCTCTTTCCCACATCATTAGAACTATGGGCACCTCGGTGATGGAGAATTTCAAACAACCAACATATATTAATTTTCTCCTCCTAATTAAAACTAGATGAACAACTTCTCAGAAGGCTTACAGGAATCCAGCCTTATAACTCCAGATACTAGCGCCTGCCTGGAATCTCAGCTCTACTGTTTCACCTAGTATGTCAGGGACAGGTCATTCTATACTCTCTAAGGGGAAACCTGTAGAGTATGTGGCAATAGGCTTCTATGGTTGTCTCCTATTCTCTGGGGCTTGCAGTCTTCAGCATTCACTCTGACATAACGGGAGTCAGCATTCACTCTGACATAATGGATACCAACACTGGACCACAGGATCAGCCCGCTTGCCTCTGATGTAATTCATATATCCTTCTTGCTACAACTTGAAATGGCTACTTCTTCGGAACAGCTACTTAAGATATTGCTAGAACTCACAAATTATATTGGAGTGACACAGAAGCAATAGTTCATGGTTTTTTTCCAGTTTGGGATGAAAATAAGCTTCAACAAACTTGATGTAAAATCAGTTTATGATTTGGGTGGAATATATTACTACTATGAAGAAAAGTTACGGACTGAACAGAAATGGCAACTTTAATTTCATCATGGGAGTAGAAAGCAATATTTGGGTAGAAGACAATAAAATTGGGAAAGAGAAAGAAAATTAGCGGATTAAAAAAAAGATTAGTGAAGAGCAGTACAAAATGTTAACAGTGAAAACAGCTATGTTATTTCATTGCTGAACTTGAAATCATTCACAGGTTCACAACAATGGACCTCTCCCAGAGTTGAATAGGGACACAGATGTTAATTTTCTGCCCCCAAGGCTTTCCCCTCTGCTTTAACCAAGCTGATCACAATCTGCATTGTACCTCTGCATCCTGCATCCATTGTACCACCCCACTAAAATCACCACGCAAACTAAAGAGCCCATTCGCATCCACGCCAGACTCAACAACCAACTCCATGAAACATCCTTCTTTACAATGCCCCTCCCACCTTCTGACTGGGATATAAAGACTCAGAGATCTCCATTCCTACTGATCTCTGACAAAGGGACTCTCGAGAGCTTATACCCGGAAAATCTTGTTGGTCACTAAGGGCTACTGAACTCAAATCTAATTATTTCATAAGACTGCTTTGGAAACCTAGTAAGCATACTCTCAGAATCAGATAGTTGGAAGGGGCCATACAGGCCATCTAGTCCAATACCCCGCTCAATGTAGGATCAGCCTAGAGAGCATCCCTGACAAGTGTTTGTCCAGCCGCTGCTTAAGGACTGCCAATGGGGGGGAGGAGCTCACCACCACCCTATGCAGCTGATTCCATTGTTACACCACGCTTACTGTAAAAATTTTTTCTAATATCCAACTAGTAACTTTTTGCTCTTAATTTAAACCCATTATTGCAAGCCCTATCCTCTGCTGCCAACAGGAACAGCTCCCCGCCCTCCTTTGAGTGACAGCCCTTCCGATACTTAAAGTGAGCAATCATGTCCCCGCTCAGCCTCCTCTTCTCCAGACTAAACATTCCCAAGTCCCTCGGCCTTTCCTCATAGGGCTTGGTCCTCGTCGCTCTCTTCTGCACCCACTCCATTGTGTCCACATCTGATGCAACACTTTTCAGCTGGACTGCAGGCTTACCTCAGATAATCCTTCACACTGAACGTGAGCCTGGATCCATTCAAGTCTGTCCGAATTCTCCTTCTCACGTACACCTTCATTGACCTGAGAACAAAGTTCCTCTGCTTTCTCCAAAGCATGCTTCAAATGGCTATAATCTGGATGGGTTTCAGGAGTATTTTCTAATATCTACAGAAAAATGAATAGTTTCAGTTTCTTATAAAGCTGCAAAACCTGTTCCTTTTACCAAATTTAGTCAGTCTAGCTCTACCAAAATACACATAAGCATCCAACAATGTTACAAAACATTATTTTAAAAAATCCCATCTAAATAAGTAAAAAAGAAAAACACTTCAGTTTACTCTGTGCCCCCAAACAGTATAAAGGTTACTTTTCTTTAAAATAACATAATTTCTGGCTTTTGTGTGTGAGTCAAATATAATCTGAAAATTTCATTGCCTTTATGATTTTATACCTACTCTAACTTTCATTTAAAGAACTACGAGTTTGACTCCAGCAGGAATTTTTCACTAAAGGAAAGGCAGCAATTTTCACCAATTCTTCCTTCCACTTGCAGACTTGCAATTCATCCCTTGTGCAGCTCCTGATCATTCATTGTTCCTCAGGAGGAACACTGGAAGGGGAGAGGTTGGAAAGTACCATTTCTGTTAGCAGAAAATTACTGCTGGATCTAGCCCATGATCAGCCCTAATTTGAGTTATCTCCCTATGTAGAAACACAAGGTCCATCCTTCTGATAAAACTATTTTATACCAGATGGGTATCCCAATAAAGAAAAAAAAATCAGAGTTTGACTCTTATTTTTCAGTTATAGTAGTTCTGATATCTCATTTTCACATGCCAGTAAAAGTACTTACATTTTTAATTATTAGAGGATATCGAGTTACTCGTTGCATAGGCTTTAGCAGAAAGCTTGACAAGGGCATCCCTTTGCAGCGAGGGTCCATAGCTAATCTCTGAAATATTAACAAGAAGTATAACATAAAACTGCCTCTCTCTGTGTGTTCTGCATTTAGCCAAGGGTGGCCTCTTGGTAGCATTTGCTGGGAATCCTAGAATACATTGTCGGTGGTTGTTCACAGCTTATGAAAGCATGACAAAATGTGGGCATCCTCCAGAGAATCTGGAGTTTGGCTTCTTGAGCCACAGTTGTGTATAGTAAAAGATGACAAAAGGAAACAGTTCAAAAATGAAGGTGCTTTGTTTATATTTGTTACATAGCAAGGGTTCATGACACACCAGGAAATAAGTGAATGAGCTCCTGCAATGGAAATAGAGTACCAATACTGATATTCTCTTACTTTAACAAATTCCTTGAACTCGGGAACTTCATCCGTTTTCTGCTGGATGAGGGCTGCCCCATTAAGCTGACAGCTACAGAATCTAATGTAAGGCTGCATGTGCGGAAGCTGTGCTGTCAGTATGTCTCCTATCATTTTTACTGGCATCCTTTCTCCTGACATTTTCTTACGAACACGCAGTGCCCTGAGCACAAAGCAGAAGAATAGTAGAGAGATTATGAAATCTGCTAAAGGTGAATAAATGCACATTAAACCAGTAGAAATTTATTACTGTAATAAAAATTATGGAACAATGGAACAGCCATAATTTGATTAGCAAATTAATAAAAAGGACAGCATGGGCCTCTGATCTCCCCTAGCTAAATGACTTCTCCTATGGGAACATCTTTCAATACATCATCAAAATGAATTGGATTCAGATAATAATGTAATACACAATGTATAGAACAGAACTTAGATGATGACCAGCTGGTAACCTAGGCAACCAAGGGAGATAAGTGGTACCCAACTGAGGGAAAGCCATTTCTTCTCTCTGGGGTATGGGAATGTAGTTAAGGTAACAAGAGAGAAGAGGTGAGAGATGAGGACTCTTGCTGAAGACAATAAGTAACTCCACATAAGAGACTGGGGAGAAAGAAGACATATGTGGATGGGCAGCTACTAAGAAAGCCAACACCTCCAGTATAAAGATAAAAAATGGGAACTGTCTAAAACTCTCAAGGGGAAGTACCTGCCCTCCTTCCTAAGACAAGCAGAACTGTGGACAACAACTGGAAGGATGTTCAGGCTTCCAATTGTCGTTCAGAGTTGTGAAGCATACTTGGAAAACATCTCAGGGTGGGGGGAGAACAGGATATTTGTACAGTTATTTGTACACACTACAATGTGTGTAATGGTTATAATACTAGATTTGGACTGTGGAGAACTAGTTTCAAATACCTCCTTGAGCCATATTCTGAGTAACTTGGATAAAGAGTGGGATATAGGTTTAGGGAATGAAGGAAGGAATGGTTGTATTTATTGTTGCTCCTTCTGTCACTTTCCCCATTCCTCTCTCCTCTAACAGTATTGTTGGCTTGTGTGTGTATTGAGTGTCATCAAGTTACTTCTGACTCACGGCAACCCTATGAATTAACATTCTCCAAAATGTCCTATCATTAGCAGACATTCTCTTATGATGTTGGCTTATACCTACCCTTTTGCCTTCCTCTCTCTGACATGATATGTATATTTTGCCACATGAATACTTTCCCCTTTGTTATGGTTTCACTGTTATGGTGTCACTGCTCGGAAACCTCAGGGGTGTGGAATGGCAAAATATTTGTGAATATTTTTAAAAATCAACAAATAGATCTAGATCTCCTCCTTAGGAGCTTGTCCCTGCCATCCTAATTCTGACATAGTAGAAACCTGAAAAGCTTTCTTGAATTCAATTAAAATATAAAACAGTTTGTTGCAGTCAAAGGAGCCCTGGGATTCCATTGATTTTGCTGCAGTTGAGAATTCAGCTCAAATACATAAGAAATAGTATTTGGCATGTATGTAGTTCTTTAGTGCATCCTCTTGTTCTAAGCCCTATGACACCCTGTATGCAGGTCAGTATTATTATCTACATATTGCAGATCAGAAATTGAGAAAGGGTGGTTTTCTAAGGCCACTTAGTACATTTATGGAAGAGGTGAGATTCAAACTGGGGACTTCCTGATTCACAGTTTTAGCCATCAAACCACACCAGCTCTTTAAGCATTACAGTATTTGCTGTTTTCTAAAATAGTTTATAAAAAAACAAGACTAGTCTAGCACCCCAGATCTGTACCAAAACCAAACAAACAAAACAGCTTCAGATAAGGAAACAAAATAAAACTGGCAAGTAGGATTTGTAATGGCAGTTGTCTAGGACAATTCTGTAAATGTGCTCATTAAAAACTACCTTTAATCTGAATCTGGTAGAAGCTTTGTTTAAATACCACTTTTATAGCATTGCATTTTGCAAAACGTCTGTACTTTCCTGTCTACAGGCATTTTCCTTATGCCCCACCTATTTGCCCATGTTTCAGACCAAGAGACAAACATAAACGACAGTAAAAGCCAGTTATTTTAATCTTCCACAATACTTTTTCTTCCTATGTCATGTTAAAATATTGCAAATCTTCAGAAGACACCCTCCGCAACAAATCTTACTGCTGCTGATTTTTTTTAAAAAGCAACTTACTTCAGTAGTTTAATATTGCACATAATTAGCTCTTTCCAGTTTACAAAAATCATAGCACCCTCCTTTTCTGTTAACAGCTCTGAATCCATTAGTGGCTTCTGGAAGATCTGTAGATTGAGAAGGAAAAGACTGTGTGTAATAGACTTGTTCACTGTGTCTAAATTACCTTTGAGGTCTCACTTTAAAGATCTGCAAAACCTAGAAGTTGCTGCCCCCCCCCCAGTCTACCACATATTTGTTCAACTCTCTTTCAGATTCAAATCAATGGGACCTTAATAACTGTAAGTTCATCTGGATCTCACCCACAGCAATCAGAATAATATGAAACAACAATGTATGCCCTGGACCCTGACCTGGATAGCCCAGGCAAGCCTGATCTCAACAGATCTCAGAAGCTAAGTAGGGCCAACGAACTCTGGCAAGTACTTCGATGGGAGACCTCCTTACAATACCAGCAGTCAGAAGGCGGGGGCAGGCTTTAGTTAGCCACCTCTCTGAATATCCTCCAGGCCCCCAGTAGGGGTTGCCGTAACTTCCAGGTGCACATGCACACACACATAAAAATACAAAAATACCTTCCTGGCAACTACCCCCCACCCTCTCTCTACCTGAGGAAGGCTTGAGGAAAACTATTTCAATGTATCTGATGAAGTGCGCATACACATGAAAGCTATGCCCAGAATTAAACTTTGTTGGTCTTAAAGCTGCCACTGGACTCAAACTTAGTTCAGTCCTAAGCAGAGTTAAATCCTATTGCCTTCAATGGACTCAGACAGTTATAACTATGCCTAGGATTGCACTGTGAATAGCACAGGTATTAGCATTAGTTAATCTTGCTATGAAATTTGCAAGGGTCTTTTAATATTATTGATCCCTTGTCAACAATCTCTGTGCGCATATATTTAATTATTCTTTGTAGTGATGAATTCTTCAGGACTGTCCCCTTGAAAAGCTTTTCCCAAATTACCCTGATTACCAAGTGACTTATATTTTTGCTTGTATGCACTAAGTCTGTTCAAAATCAGATGCATTCATATTAGCGCAATAACCCAACATCAAATTGTAGAAGTTCCCAGACATGGACTTCTAAGTGTCTCTGTTGGGTTGTGAAAATAAGAAGCAGGAGACTGACCAGATATGAAGGTGCACAGAGAGTTTATAAAGGTGAATATAGACAGATATTTACCAAATCATTAAACAACACGCCGTGCCTTAATTTAAGAGCTGAATTCCATCCTAGCTAACTAAGCAGAGAGCTATTATACTGAACTCTAGCCAAAACCTAACAAGGTGATGCAATCTCTCACAAGACCTGAATGAGTAACACCTGGTAGAAGCACTTGTCACATGATTGCTAGCCTGACAGATAGGTTTGGCAGTCAGATCAAACTTATCTATAGTAACTGCTTGCTACCATTTACATTTTGACCCTTATCTCAATAGTTTCTCCTGTGGAAATGTGCAGCAACATGAACCAAGATCTTCTGCTGATGACAGCTGGAAACATAAAAACATTAGTGGAAATGGCCTTTGTGCCCTCAACTGAAGACCTGATACAGCAAAATCTTTGATGTAGTAGTAATGAAAAAACTGACTTGCCAAGTAAATCTTGTTAAACAGGAAAACACAAGCATATTATAAACCATAATGAGTAACCATGTTAGTCTGTCTGTAGCAGCAGAAAAGAGCAAGAGTCCAGTGGCACGTTAAAGACTAACAAAATTTGTGGCAGGGTATGCGCTTTCGTGAGTCATTGCTCACTTCTTCAGATACCTGAAGGGAAGTATCTAAGGATCACTGGATCACAGGAGGTGGTAGTCCCGCTCTAGTCTGCTATGGTCAGGCCTCACCTGAAGTACAGTGTCCAGTTTTGGGCACCACATTTTAGGAAGGATGTTGACAAGCTCAAGCATGTCCAGAAGAGGGCAACCAGGATGGTGAGAGGGTTGGAATCCAAGTCTTACAAGGAAAGGCTGAAAGAGTTGGCTATGTTTAGCCTGGGAAAGAGAAGGCTTAGAGGGGACATGATTGCAGTCTTCAAATATCTGAAGGACTGTCATGTAGAAGATGGAGCAGATCTATTCTCTCTTGCTCTGGATTGCAAAACTAGATCTAATGGGCGGAAATTACAAGGGAGTCGATACCGGCTAAATATCAGGAGAAACTTCCTAACTGTAAGAGTGGCTGAGCAGTGGAACAGACTGCCACGGGAGGTGGTGGATGCTCCTTCGCTGGACGTTTTCAAGTGGAGGCTGGATGACCATCTTTCGGGTAGGGCTATCTTTTGGCTATGCTCCTGCAGAGTACAGGGGATTGGACTAGATGACCTGCAAGGTCCCTTCCAACTCTAACATTCTATGATTCTATGATTATGCTCTTTCCAAAGTTATGTTGCTAGTTTTGTAACTGGTCACTGAACTGACTGGTTTGGTTTTACAAATATTAACCCACGGAAGCTTCCATACAACACCCAACACAGGTCACTGGAGCTCAGAGCTTTACAAAACTCATTCACTTATGAGACAAGCAGAGCAATTTACAAAACACACACAATTAGCCTCACCTCTGTTACTAACTGTAGGTCATTCACATAGTTTTCTTCTGTTACAATGAGTTCATGGATATACCCCTGCCGTTTCCTTTCAGTAGGAGACAACATATCCAGGAGATGCAAATCCGCACACCCTGGAAGAGACATAAAATGCATGGTGTTGAACATTACCGATATTCCTGATAAGCACCATCAGACTGACGTGGTACAGCCTAGATAGGCTAAGCACCTTAGTGAGAAGGAGGACTAACACTAGTAGCTAACTATGATCCCAACAAAATCCATTCAGAAAGCTGAGAAACTACATGGGCAGAAAAGGGGAAAATGTAAGGCACTGTCTAGGAGCACCTTCATTGCAAAGCACTGTTACACATTCTGTACAAACACAAAGGGAGGAAAAGTCTCCCAATTATGGATTGTAGGATACAGCTCTCAGTCGATACATTTAAGAGGGTATCTTTCTCTAAGACTTTTCTTCCTGGTTTTTAATGTTATATCTGATCAGTTTCCAGCAGAGTATATAAGGAAGTGTCAGAGGAAGTGTCTATATAGGCAGTGGGAGAAGACCACTTTGGTTTATGGATTTTAAAGAAGGCAAATAGGCAACATCCATATACAATGCCTGACAAATACACTAACAAGGACCTACCTAAGGACACTTCTGGAGCTATGAAAAAGGAGGCCCTAATATTATGTAATGATCAAACGACAACCACAAAGAGATTCAGGTCTCAAGTTTATGGTGATTGCTGAACAGCATGTTCCATGCTGAACATGCCCCTTGCAGAATGAAAATTGTAAACAGATTTCAATTAAAGTCTTCAGGATTTGATATTTTTTGATATTTTTCTTTTAATGAGATTTCTGTGGTAACTTCTTCTGATAGTTTCAACAGTATGCTAGGGAGCAGACTGAGTAAATAAACCACCGATTCATTTTCCTTTTCACAGAGCAAAAAAAAAAATCACATGACAATGTAGGGCTGAAAGTATGAAAAGAGAAATCATACCAGGTATGGATCTAATAATCCACAATACCCTAGGCTAACCCTTCCCTTTGTTAGATCAATCTTTTTTCTCTCACTGGGGGGAGTCTTTTAACCCACTGATAGTCCTTCAGCATAATGAGAATCTAGGGACTCGGAGAGTGGGGTTTCCACGAAAGGATCAGGAATGTTTTAATACAGCACACTCTACAATAGGAGCCCCCAACCTTTTCTAGATTGTGAACATCTTTGGAATTCTGATACAGGGTGGTGAGTGCAACCACAAATGGTTGCCACAAGAGGTGGAATCAACCACAAAATGTCAGAGAGTGAGGTTATGCATAATTGTAATAGTAACTCTCCAACATTTCATGCAGAAACTCTTTTTAATGGGATTCCTTTTAAAACGAACATATTTTGTTGCATACACAAAGCTTACCTTCAATAACTCAGCAAAGATCCTTGTGCTGTGGTGGCAGCTGCTGCCAAAGTAACTTAAAAAAAAATCTGCACAGCCAACTAGATCTTCAGTGGCCAATCAGAAGCCCAGCTGGCTGAAAACCCCACCTGCCCTTCCCACTCTGTAAAAACACTTGGTGGGCACCATGTTGGGGACCGCTGCTCTAGAAGTAGGACAATATGTACGGAGGTTTTGTAATGTTGTCAGCGAAAGTACCCAAGCTGTATTTGGGTCATCACAGCTGATGCAATTTATTACAGTTCCGCAGGGCCTGCAAGACAAAGCTCTTCCACCAGGTGTTTGACTAAGGAGCCATATCATACACCGAGGAGTGTCCCTGTGCCCTGGCTTTACCATCTTTGCCAGTCTGTGTCCTGGCCTTACCATCGCTATCTTCAGCCTGGTCTCGCCACATAACAAGTGACCGAACTGAGCTGGTGTGAAGTTATGGGAATTATGCTGTCACCTAAGTCATATTATAAATAATCTTTGCTTCTGTTTACTTGATAATGTTCCAGTGTTTTAGTTGTATTTTAAATGATTGGTATTTTATGTTATATGTTTATATGTTATGATAGGTTTTAATTGTATTTTTATGAAATATTTGTAATTTATTTATTTATTCCATTTGTATCCTGCACTCCCCGGGAACAGGCTCAGGGCAGCTCACATTAGTCGATACAAGGTACCATAAAATCCACATAAAACATTTAAAACATTTTAAAACAATCAGGTAATCATAAAGTGCTAGTAATAATAATCATTCCATCATTAGTTGAGATGGCGTGCTATATGATGTAACAAGCAGACAATTTCCAACTCAGTGAACTTCTGGCGTCACACGATGGTATGGCTCGATCTCAAAGCTGGGGCCAGCCTATAACCACAGATGTTGGTGGTAGTGGTGAGGGCGGCTCCTAATTGAAAGCCTGGTGGAAGAGCTCTATCTTGCAAGCCCTGTGGAACTGTAGAAGATCCCACAGGGCCCTGATCTCTTCCGGGAGCTCATTCCACCAGTATGGAGCCGCCACTGAAAAGGCCCTGACCCTGGTGGCAGCAAGCCTGGCATCCTCAATTGGTGTTGTGACCAGTGTTCCCTCTAAGCTGAGTTAGTGTGAGCTAGCTCACAGTTTTTTAGCCTCCGGCTCACAATGTCCTACCAGTGCAGTGGCCTTCCCACCAGTCATACCAGGGAACAAACTAGCAGTAGTGAAGAATGACAGTGCTCCACTGTCTCCCTGCTCCCTTGGAGAGTCCATGATAGCTTTCATGCTTCAAATCTTTTTCTATACATGCCCCAATGAGAGAAGGTGAACCAGTGACAGACTCTTTTTTTGCTTTCAATGGACCATTAGCAACATGAAAATAAGTATCAGACATAAGTTGTAAAATATTTTATTGATCCAAAAAATGTTTGTGGTGAAGTAGTCTCATAGAACACACTTGTTAACATCCACCTCTAAATCAAACTAAAAACCGAGTAGGTTCTTATCAATCATGGTCTGTTTCACATGCTATCCTATTTATACATCAACTAAAATAATTAACACTTAATCCACTTAATTTGCATTGTAATACTAGACTCTACTTTGAGGTTCAGGCTGAAGATTAGAAATGAAGAATTTCTCTGTACGTCAAAAAAAGTGTGTTGCTAAATTTTTTCAGGTTGACTAGAAATGCAGAGCAATCCATTTACAATCCTGAGTTGCATTAAATCCAAAGTTTGCCAATGCATTCCCATTTATGTCATGGCATTTACCACAGGAGTACATTCACCTCTCAAGGATCAATATTTTTAAGGTCCATGTTACAATTAATGGTACAGTTGCCTCCTTGAACGCTACCTTCACTCTAAAACTCTATACACCATATCAATCATTCCAAACGTCATTTCCTGGTGCTCTCCCAGATTGCTGGCATTTCTTTGTCTCTTTCCTGCTTCTTATGGTTGCTAGCAAATGTACCAAATCAGCATAATGTACCTTTGTAGGGAGTACTGCCACTACTGCTATAAAATAAGTACTGGGTGTTTACATTGTAATGTGTAGGGTTTGCACAGAAATTTCTTAGACTTAATACGAACCCTTTCATTTTACAGCCTAGAGATGCTACTGTTCAATTTCTCCCCCCCACACATATACACATTTTCCAGCTGCTGATAATGCTTCATTTATCCCATGAAGTGATCTCCATAGTAGTTATGTTACAGTTAGTCAAAATTCTGTTATTTTTTGCTGCTACTCCTCCACTGGATTTTGTCAATCATATTCACCCTCTTAGAGAACATCAGTCCCAAAATATTATTTTGACACTGGCCTGCACAGTAAAAGCGGGAAACACAACTTTAGCTCATTTGAAAAAAGTTTGAGTCCAGTGGCAACTTTAAGACCAACAAAGTTTTATTCAAGGTATAAGCTCTTGTGTGCACACACACGTCTGATATCTTATACCTTGAATAAAGGCCTTAAAGGTGCCACTGGACTCAGGCCTTGTTCTTCTGCTTCAGACCAACACAGCTACCCACCTGAATCTTAGCTCATTTGAGTTTTTTCTTTTAATCTTTCCCAGCAGCAAACAGCAAGCATGAACAAATTATATAAATCTGCAATAAAGCCAAATGCAGAATGCACAGTTCTGAGTGCTCCATCTAAAAACAGATCAGTGATTCTTAACTTTTAATCAGTTACTGTCAACTGAGTCACAACATTATAATTGAATTCCTTCTCCCAATCTAACAGAATTAAAATATTTATAGGCCACTTTTCCCCCACTGATCACTGTAGCTCAAGAATACGATCACCAGCTCCATGTTGGGAAATTCCTGGAGGTTTGCGAGTGCAGCCTTGGGAGGGTGGGGTTTGGAGAGCAGAGGGACCTCAGCATGGTATATTGCCATAGAGTCCACCTTCCAAAGCAGCCATTTTCTCCAGAGAAAGTGAACACAGTCATTTGGAGATCAGTTGTTATTCCATGAGATCCAGTGCTCTAGGTGGGCCTGAAGGCTTGCAACCATATTCAAGGTTTGCAACAGTTAAAAGAAAACAGAAAAAAGCAGGCTATAGGACTTTCCCCCAAATTTATAACCACCTTGTGAAATTAAATGCAGAATGCTTACCTACAAAGAACAAGCTTATATTTCTTACAGAAAGTGCTCCTCTGAATCTCGGGGGGGGGGGGGCCCTCCATAATGGTGGAGCAGCCACCAAAAAACAGCAGGCCTCTGCTGGGGCTAAATTGAAAACTCGAAGGAAGGGCTCCATCAGGAGATAGTCTTGGGAGTGTTAGGAGGTGACAAACAAAGCTCAAAAACAAACAAATAAAAAATTCAACGAGACCCTTAAGACTAATGGCCATCAGCCAACTCCTTAATGTTAGTTTTCATTCCTGTGTACTCTTGTGCCACTTTAAAGGCCATGGGGAGAAATCTAGGATTTTATCCTGTGAGCAGGGTGAGTGGTAAGAATTTTTTTTTTGCTTGCTCTCAGAGCCAAACTACAAACTACTCAGACCCATGCATGCATCCCATAGCCAGTGCCATTTTAGAATGAGTTGTAGCCATAATAGTTGTGAAACTTGTATGAGAGGATTTGCAAGCAGAATGTTAAATTGGATGTTTTTAATATATCTTTCCCCCCCTTCTTTTCCCTTTCCCCCTTTCTATGTATAAACTAATAAAACTCTTAAAAAAT